GAACAAGTGGCGGATCCTTGAGCAAGTCGAACAAGTGGCGGATCCTGGAGCAAGTCGAACAAGTGGTGGATCCTTGAGCAAGTCGAACAAGTGGTGGATCCTTGAGCAAGTCGAACAAGTGGTGGATCCTTGAGCAAGTCGAACAAGTGGTGGATCCTTGAGCATGTCGAACAAGTGGTGGATCCTTGAGCAAGTCGAACAGGTGGTGGATCCTTGAGGCAAGTCGAACAAGTGGTGGATCCTTGAGCAAGTCGAACAAAGTGGTGGATCCTTGAGCAAGTCGAACAGTGGTGGTCTTGAGCAAGTCGAACAAGTGGTGGATCCTGGAGCAAGTCGAACAAGTGGTGGATCCTGGAGCAAGTCGAACAAGTGGTGGATCCTGGAGCAAGTCGAACAAGTGGTGGATCCTGGAGCAAGTCGAACAAGTGGTGGATCCTGGAGCAAGTCGAACAAGTGGTGATCCTGGAGCAAGTCGAACAAGTGGTGGATCCTGGAAGCAAGTCGAAACAAGTGGTGCATCCTGGAGCAAGTCGAACAAGTGGTGTATCCTTGAGCAAGTCGAAACAAGTGGTTGGATCCTGATCCTTGAACAAGTCGAACAAGTGGGGGATCCTTGAACAAGTCGAACAAGTGCAACCAGAACCACTTCTCGCCGCCCTCGCCGAGTTTTGTCCTGTCCCGCCGTGCAACCCTCTCCTCATCCCGAGTCACCCTTCCCTGCCCCGCCTTACCCGGCTCCTTCTTACCAGCCTGACCTTCCCACCCACTCCGCCCTCGTACCGCCCGGCACCTTATCTGCGGAGGTCGCGTCACGATTCGGTGGCGCCGCCCGCCGGCTGAGATGCGCCCCCGCCGGGAGGTCGTTTTCGGCGCGAACGCCGCCCCCGCCGCCGGGGAGAGACCTCGGCCACAAAGCCCGCCGACTCCACCATCGATCCCCGGGCGCGCCTCTCGCCCGCGCGGATTTGCTCCGGGGTGGCGCCCACGGCACTCCGGCCGCGGTGGATGGTGTTTGTGACTGGGATACCGAACGCGTCGTTATGTACAGCACAGGATGCTCACACAACAGTCACAATCACAATGCCATGCACATCCCAGGAAGCTCTTTTGTCCATATGATTATTTCCCTAGAATTGTAAAAACCAATCAATTGACCCACACCGGAACATTTTTGCCAGATAAAAACGATGTGATATATGTAAATGCTCTAATATTATTTTTAATATCTATTAACCAATATACTTACATTAACAAAACTATATACTAGTTAGATATTTGTTATTTTGGCTAGTTCAGTTTTTAATTACAACTCCAACAATACTTACTACTTCGTGTTCGCTATTAATTCCTCATTGTCAGGGCTCCTTTACGCTACTTGCGTGAAATTGTGGGCCTGACAATCACCGCTCGCACGAGAATTCGGCTGGTAAAATAGCATTGATTAGGGAACATAATGTTGGTAGTTCGATCTTCTAAATATTAATATTTTGAAATAACAATACCTACAATTTGATTTAGACAGTAGTGCAAAATTAACTACAATTCTTTAATTTAGAATACTTACTGGTCTTCAACAATTCTATATTAATTTTCAACACCAATTCTATATAATTTTTAAACCATTCAATTCTTGTATCTATACGCATGCTTTGAGATTTTCTCATTTACACTTACTTTCGAATCCGATCTGTTTTAGAATTAAGAATCTGTTTACCATGGCCTTTTTAAATTCATTCTGTAATCAATTGATTTATTAATAATCTTAAAATTCTGGAACAATCTTAGCCTTGTACATTTAATATGAATTTTGTCTGTAATCTGTCAAGCACGTGTTACTGTCAGTGATCTTGGCCGCTGTGGCCCTGGATCCTCGAACACTTCTATTTTCGGCTCTACTCCAACCATTCTTTTTCTAATACATGACAAATCAATGTTCGCTTTCTATCATCTCCGACTAACATCAGGTGAAAAATCTATCACCGAGTCCAACATAGTTCTAAATTCAACTCTATTACATCTCCAGAATGTGGCTTAATCTAGAAACGAATAATTCGTGATCTACGGCGATTTCTACGTAGATCTCTTGACACCTAAACTTCGTTCCTCAACGCACATCTTTACTCGCTCAAGGCTCACCACCATCTGCTAGTTTTTCTGTCCTCAAGAATACTTTTTTCTCTGATCGTTTGTTCATTCCATTCTTTCGATAGCACTTCGATGCTAAGCTGTCACCCTTGGCTATTGCATAATCCCCTTTGTTATATTGTAATGTTTTATTATAAACATTCTTTAGATTTAAATTAAATGTCACTTTATTTTAAAATATTATTTGAATAAGTCAATGTAAGTCACTGAAATGTCATATTTCCTCTCGTGTCTCCTAACTTTCCGATCATACTGCCGTATTTTGTATTCATTTTATAAATTAAATGTCATTCAGGTGTCGTGGATCACCTCAATACCCATTCATTTTGTTGGTTCAATTTGATTTCATATCCTAGTCGCAGATATTACCTTTGATAAAAAGTCACTCTTGGTTTTTGCTTACAATTTCACCCAGTTTCAAATTTGTGCTACTTGTGTTTAGTAGACGCCTCGTATTTCCCCCTGTAAATGCTGACATCCCTAATTATACGAAATCACTCATAGTCTTTGTTTTAAGCTTCTAAATACATCTCAATCATTTGCTAATAGTCTGTGATTGATACACGCGTGGAGATTTTAGAGTACAGAGGAGGAACATGTAATAAATAATCATAGTCATTTTATACAAAATGATACGTGTGTTCTTTTACAATAATGAAACGAATTTATCCCCTTCAGAATCCTCCTTTTAATTTTCGCTTTATTTTCATCTACTCTCCAATTTTTGAGATCATGGATTTCATTCATTTCCCCTTTAGTACACTTTTTCGTCTTCTCTACGAGTGACATGTTCATCGAACTCTTTCTTTCTATTTCCTGTCGCAGGGTTTGACCTCCAACGCTTTCGCCCTTCTCTGATTCACGTGCTCCGCGCAACCCAGTCCCGCCCCGCCCTGGCCTGACCCACTCCGCCCCGCCCACGCAGGCGCGTTGCATGATCGGCCCATTCCCAACAACGATTGACTGCGCCGTCTCGGCAGTTATTTATAGCCCTCATTCGCCAGTCATTTGCGAGTCCTTTCGAGTAAACAGAGAAGGTAGTGGATATTCCAGACTGAAGCTCTCGTAGAATTCCGCCATATTATCGCGTAATCAGACCCGGTGGGCACGTTCGGAAGAAACATTAAAGCGAAAGCGAATTTTTCCTGTGCCGTTTTTTCCTCGTCCGACCGGAAACTGATATATCCCCCGTGTCGAATCGGCGCGCTGTTATTGGAGCCGAGCGAAAAGAAGGTAAAATTTATCGCGGGAGAATGTTGCATCTCGCTCTTTCTCTCTCTCTCTCTCGCCCTTTTACAGTCACGCCTCCCCCGCTCGACTTTAGCTCAGCGATACCCACTCCATCTTCCTCCTTCGACCACCGCCCCGGCAGCTGTCGCTTCGTCACCGACATCACCTGCCACTCAAGCGCTGCACACAGCACAGCGCCGGGGGCGGCAGGCATTAGCCGACCGCGCAATCGACAAGCGGGAAGTGGTTTAAAAGCATCGAATAAAACACGTGAGTATAGTTCTAAAGAAGAGGAAGTACAACTACCGCGCAATTGCCCTTCTGCAAATTGTATTGCAAATTTTTATAAACAAAGAACAGGGTAATAGAAAGAAGTGTAGATCTGTGATTGAAAGTAAATGGTGAGAGTCGTTATAATGATGTTAGATATCTAAAAACACAAAATTGGCTGTCATATCACTTCTTACATATTAAACGGTTTTGGCCAGAGTTTACTTTGACAGACACCAGATTCCAACAATTTTTTAAATAAAACCACAGAATCACACAATTTTTTTTAATTTTGTGGCAACCATAATTAGCTGTAACATCAGTGACTAGTCCTGTATATTACTCTTTTTTTAATAAGAGTTTTCTATTACACTCATTGTAGCCTGCAAATGGGAAAAATTCACATCCCCGGAACGTCGCGCTGCTACTAATTATTGTTGACAAAAAATAAAACTTTTTATAATGAGTTTCTGTGGTTTTGTTTTAAAAAAATGTTTATCTGGTGTCTGTCAAAGAAAACTCTGTAATCAAATCCCGTTTAATATGTAGGATGTTAGACATCGCTTAAAAATATAATTGTTCCTGACATCCATTGCTGTCTTGGTCAAACCGAAGGTAAAGGTGCACCCCAGCAAGTTCTCAAGTCATTAGAATTCCTTTTTTCCTCCTCCACACACCCAATTCGTCGTTCCCTCTGTTGACACATTCCACTCAGCGCCCTTGCAAGTTAGGTGTGGCCTCCCCCCTCCCCTCTTCACCTCCGTTCGGCTAGCAGCGCCCACTCAGCTTCTCACCAGGGCAATGACAGATCCCTGCGCGTTGTTGTCGCTCGACTGACAAGTACAAATGGCGGCGCGGCGCCCCTGAATGCCAGATGCAATCACGGGATGGCCTCTCGCCCACGGTCTCCGCGCGTTCCCCTCACGCCCACGAGCACTCTGACCCCACCACAAGGGCAGACAATCGCCCCAAATGCTGAAACTTTATTAAAAGGGATCGCTTACATTGAACAATAAGAGTCGAATCACTAGGTTCAACACAAAATTCATCAGTTTAAGAAACAACTTCTGGAATTCATTCCTGTTGCAGAAAGGCTTTAGCAAATGGTTATTTTTGTATCGAAGTTCCGTGACTAACCTTCGGTAATATGGTACGCCTCATATTTTCGCCCGTGGGACCATTCAAATCCGCACTTCTAAATTGGTTCCCGGGCGACCGCAGCCTGGCTGGAAGGGAGGGGAGTCGGACCGGCCAGAGAGTGCACAGGAGAAGGGGTAGAGAGGGGAAGCGAGTGCACTTCACGCCTAGTTCGGGTTCATTCCGTTCTGCTGCTTACCGGTGAAAGGTCTCGGGTGATAACATCGCTAAAGTCAGCCGTTACACGTGAAGGAATTGGGGATGCCACGAATGTTGGAGGATTACAAAACTCAAAAGAGGTAAATGATTTCTTGAATTTAAAAATAATGGAGTAAATTCTTCATATATTGAAATTTTCTTGTGAATTGGATAGAGAAATTACCGTGCTAACACACGGGTATTTACGTTTCAGCTTTCTTTCCGGATTTCAATTTGAGTTCTTTCACTTGTACTTCGAGATTCTGTGAATGTGTTATGTGAATTGAGTGTTGTTATCTTGTTATATTTACTCTTGTGTTTTTTATTGGAATATAAGAACCATCCACATCCTTGGTGCACGGTTGGGGCGAATCACCCAAGGGTAGCGCCAACCACGTGGCCAAGGCCATTGTCACGGCCCCCTACGGCTCAGTGCGAGGCTGGGGTTACGCGATCGAGGAGTCCAAGGCCGACGGAAGTGGGGGCGATATTTGCGTCTGAGGCGACGCGCTGCGGGCGAAATATTCGAGTGACCCCGACTCGGCGGACAAAAGGGTGAGCGGTGACACTGTATTTCAATATCAGTTTTTGGGCAACAGATTTAATTGCGAATGAGATTTATCTTCAATATTTTAGTTGGAGGAAGACGCCAAAAATAATTTTGAACTTGAAGTTTTTGAAGCGAAAGTTACACGGTAAATACTCTAGTTTTGCACATGACTTTTAAAAGATCTTGCATGACATTTTTTAAAGATATAATTTCCTAGAACTGACATTACTGAAGCAAAAATTTCTGTAAAGTATATTGTACTCTTCCAATGTTCAAAATTACATTTTTCTCCAGATTTAGGATTTCTCCAAATTTTAAGTGTCTCGTGAATAATTATCTACCAAAGAAAAACAATGAAGATAAAATAGAAATATTTTTTGGAACATATATTGTTCAAAAATTGCCAATTTTCTCGCAATATTACGCGTAAATTCTGATATTTTCGAAAATTTGTATTTCTGTCTTAGAAAAACCGATTGAGTAAAAATCTTTGTCTTCAATTTTGTAGTAGTAGTAAAAAAAATCACTGTGGAATTTTCAAAACTTCAGAGATTCCAACAAGAGTGGAACTTGCCCCATTTTTAAGTGATCTTTAGGCTGTCTGAGAAAACAGTTTACTCACAAAAATTGGAGCTATTTTTAAGAAAACTTCGAATTACCATTAAAAATTCACAGGGATGTGCACAACGCATTACAGAAAGCTAAGTACAACGTAGAGGATCATTATCCACTTTTTTGATATCATGGCCTGATAGTTTTCCTGCAATTTCTTCCGCAGAGTTACAAACGTCCTTTTTACTATACAAGTACGTAGTTAGGCGGGAATGTAAAAATTGTCATCTTGTAGGAGAAGTAATGAGCAAACCGTTTTGAATAAAGGCGAAGTTTGTTTGTAATAGTTAATTTTAACAACAGAAATGAACATTTATTTTCATATTTCTTCTCATAACCCTAAATAGTGGTACTACAGAATCAATTTGGCATTATCGCTCTAGTTTGTTTTCGAATTTCTTTTGTCAGGGGTAGTTTTTCATATAACATTAAGAATTATATAAGCGTAAAATGTCTGGGCAAATCGAAAAGAACGCTTTATAATAAGTCCAATCCTCCCTCATTGAAGATAATTATAATTAATTTTCCCGCCTTTCGGTTCAGTATTTTTGCATTTCTGAACCAAATGCTTGTCACTTCTTACTTCTTCTAATTTGTTTCTTAAAGAAACAAACATCCCCCCAACTTATTTCACTCACGACCCTTCTTGCTATTCCGCTTCTGCATTTAGAGTTTGTCCGCCATGTCTTCTGACGAAGTGAGGAGTGGTTCATACGCAAATGAGCATTTCTCTCCTCAAGACTCATAGTGTGGAGATTACATCGGGCGAATGCTGCTTCTAACGGGAAAGCAATTGCGACTGTGCGAGTGAGCTCAATTGTTAAGCTTCTTGCCTTCTCTCGCGGTATTTGCAATTTGTTTCACTTCAAGCGATTGTCCCCGCTCTTTAGTTAGGAGCAAGCTCATTAATGAGGCTAATGAAGTCGAAAAAGAGAAAACAATTCCAAAGAGAAATGTTCAGTATTTTTGAGAGACGTCAAGTAGTCAAACAGCAAATCGCAATCACTAAGACCTTGTTAGAATGTATTAAAAAACGATCGCAATCTTCGGATACGTGTCAGTAATAGCATTAATTGAAGTTTAACGACATTCATTTTGTGCGTTCATTAAACATTTATTAGCAACACAATTAAATGGGGTCACTTTTAATAAATGTTTATTTCACAATAGCTATCATTTTGTTGAGTGTCATTACTGAAATAAAAATTATACATTAATTGCCGTGAAATGAAGACACATGCTGCTTGTTATTGGATCTCACGTTGTAGCTTCATTACGCATCTTAAAATAGCAAATAAAAATTAAAGATCAGTCTATTTAAGTACATATCACATGAAATGTACGATCTTTCTTTGAACGCGTCTATTTCACTATTGTCTGTCCTATGTTTCTCATGGTCTGTCCGTATGCTCAATGCTAAGCAAGGATATTTTTAAATTAAACCAGTCTCAGAAGTCTATCACTGTAAAATTCACTTTGTTTACTTTTTCTCTCCACTGTAATTACTTTGTTCACCATTTTAAACTAAATATAGCAATTGTTTCGGGTACATAATAGCTTCTGAGCATTAATATAATATTAAAATGTCATTTTCGTAATGTTTAAAACTCTGAAATAGAATATATTATTAAAGATTTAGTGCCGGAATACAGCAAAAGAAACACATACTTTTAGAGGAAGCAATTTCGAGAATATTGTGACGAAAGAAAATACAAACGGGCAGCACAAACTACAAATGAAGAAATTACACTTATTGTGCGCAATTATTTTTGCGAAGATTAGATAGTGAAGAGTACAAAGAATACGCTGACAAAACTATGTGGAACGATACAACCAAAATTATTACGAAAAATACCTCAACGAGTACACCCGTGTGTTAAATCCATTCGAAATCAACGAATCGCGCTGCTAATTTAACTTGTACATCTTCCACTTCGAACACTTCTAGTGAATAAAAAGACATGGGAAACTCAACTTCCTAACACTTTAATAATTGTTCTTGTAAATAGCTTTGTTATAATTGTTTTTTAAAGTTTTATTGCCATCAAATCTAAATATAATTAAAATAATTTTCTGCTTGAAACTGTTCTTCATATTTTACTTCATTATAAGTTATTCCAGGAGGCAGTTATAAGTCTGAGCTGAATGAAACTTTCACATTTTCCGGGAGTAACCATGAGTAATACTTCCTTCCTTCGTAATTCCTATGATTTTTATTATCCATTCCATTCATGCAATGTCTTAATTCGTGAAAAAAGACACACTAAATATCACAGCACTTCTCGTGACATTGTATGTACTTAGCGCGACAGTACGTGAACAAGCTCAGGCTTACCGGCGACGTCCCTGCCTCGCGGCCATGCGTTAGGGGGGTACGTGTGGTTAGCACGTAGTCATCACCACGCCGTATTCCGGTCTTCTCAACCTTGAATTTTCTCATCGTCAAACAGCAACATATACTGGGAAATTGCAGGGAAAACGCACACTATAATCTTTCCTGACCGGGAATCGAACACAGGGCCGCATAGTGGAAAGCGAGTACGCTGACCACGATGCTTCTCGTGCTATTACTTACAAGAATTTTTGACAGTGAAGTTATGTATTTTTTTCAGATATTGCTGTGCATTTACAACTTGTAATTATTTAATTAAACTAAATCTTACTTTCACGACCGCCTGCTGTTAATTTGTTTCAGACCATGCCTCACACCAGTTGTACCTTGACGAAAAGCTGTAACTTAGAACAGCGGTACTACAAGGCGATGTCGAGTTTGTAGGAGTTCGTGATAACATTTTGGTACTGACATTAACACAAAGGCTTGGGTGTTGAGGTTGAAATACAAGGAAAAGACTCTGCCTCTACCACAAGCCATTTCTAGATGGCGACGAAAGTTAAAATAGACTACAAAGGATTTCATTTGTCCGACTTTCGTGTTTTACCCCCCAAAAGCGGTAATTCCTCTCCAAAAATGCTCGATATTTCAAATACGCTATAGATTAATTTTGGTTGTAACTTGCATTGCATTTTACAGAAAATAATTCTAGCGAAGATATGTACAAGGCAAAGCACCAGGTGAACCTCATAATGTAATGCGTCTTGAAGGAGACATTTGCAGGAATGGAAGTAGTAGTTGAAGCTCTCTGAGAAAAAGACACGTGTGGTGCAACTTGAACATCTTCCATTCCATCTGCACAATTCAAGTTCACCGCGTCAATAAATCGCGGTGTCCAATGATAGTAGCTTTCTCAGGAAGATACGCGCGCATTCTCACAAGAAAGGCCGTGACAGTGAAGTTCGAGGAGAATAATGGAGAGTGGCGAGTGGGCGGGACGGCAGAGGCAGTGCGGGCAGGGGACGAGGCGGCTACAAGAGTTACAAGGGCCAAGGGCGGGTGCAACTGCGCGGGAGCACTCTCAAGCCCGCGTTTTTAAAAGATTACTCTTTTTATTTATTCAAAATAATTTCTCTATATAGTTTTCTTCACATTCAATGCAGAATTTCCATTAAGCCTTTTACTAAATTTTTATTTCAAGCTAACAATTAAAAAGACATTATTTAAAAAACATGTGGGGATGTGAACTAAAAATTGTTCCCGTAAAATATTTTCTGTACCAGACCCCGGGCACGGAGAAATCGTTTGTCTCGGTTTTGCGTTGGTTGTGGGGCGACTGTGGTGTTATTGCAACACGTCGGTAGCAATGGGTCGGTAATCTGTGATCGGTAAGCGAGAAAATCGTTTAGACGTGGCATATAACGTAGTAAACCTGCCGATGAGGATGGCCGATTTGGGTAGAGTGTCAGCTGACTCAGCGCTTCGGTCTGTAGGGTCTCTGGTTCGAGCCCGCCCGTGGGCTTGGTTGTTTGTTCCTTGACTGTCATGAAAGTGTGTTGTCGCGGAAGGCCTTGTGGGTCTGCTGACCACAGACAGAGAAGTTCACATGTGTGTTAGTGTCCATTGTAAAAGTTAATGTGTGTCCCCATGAGGGACTTAGTGGAAGACCCGGAGTCGAAATCGGTATCCAGGAAGCTGGAATAAGTTTCCGGAAGTAAAGAAAAATATCGTGGTAATTCTGGTGACGGAACGGTGTAGGCAGAGGGAGATGAAAATATAAGTGTTGGGAAGATGACGGAATGTGAAAAGTTAAAAATGAAGAGTAGTTAAAAATAAATTGTATCAAGCGCTAAAACGGGCTAGTGGCTTTAGTAAGGGTGGCGATTGAAGATTGCATAATGGTGATGGGGATGGGAGCAGGGAGAAAACATAAGTGTGTCTCGAATGGTTGATGAGGTATGGAATTAGCTATTGAGCATTTGTTTTCTGATATTACAAACAAATGTTTGTGAGATAAGAGAGTTCAAATACTTCTTAAAAATTATTACCAATTATCGGAATGTTATAAAAAGTTTTTCCGGTAATAATATTATAATATTAATTTTCTTTTATAAAAAAATAATTTATTTTAAACAATGCAGTAAACATTGTTTTAGGGTTAACATTTTTCATTAAATTACTTTACAGGTATGTTAAATAAAATCATGAAACAGTCCAGTCTTAGTTTATTTTTATTTGCTGGGTGAATAAATGATAATAAATATTAGCAAAATATATTATACCCTTTTGCTTATATTCAGTGCAAACGAAATTTCATCGTCCGCATTGAAATATTTTCCATTGAACGCTCCTGCATTGTAACCATGGAGTTCTGAGCGCGCGGCGCTTACACAATTGACTTCTGTCGGTTTGCTATTCGAGTGATACGTAAAAGGATAGTCTGAAGCGAAGTTCTCACTTTATGTTGGCTTTGATGGCTCGATTCGATTTCCATCGACCACTCCTACGGATTTCCGAGACAGTTGTCGACTTTATCGCTGCTATTTCGTTCTTTAATTTTGCACAATGGCAAACATCAAGTCAATCTGAGTGGATGTTGCCTCGTAAATCAAGCAAATAATTACCGAACTTAATTTTGAAAAACAACGTACATTTGTTTTTGTCTTTAAATCTATTTGGAATAGTTTAAAATGTCTTGACGTCGGAGTAAAATACGTGGAAAAAGGAAAGAAAGAAGAATAAATATTTCGATGCTTAATAGGTGGTTTGTAAATTTTTTGCATTAGTATTAGACTTGTTCATTATTATATAGTATGTAGCATGTAGTATGGAGAAATGAAATGATTTTCCACATTGTTCTGGAATTATTTCAGCTTTTATTGATTCGCTTAAAGGCTTTGAGACCTGGTTAATTATGGATTCTAGTAGGGTTTTTGTAGAGCATTGCATAATAATGCTTGGAATTAAACTTCTAGGGTAATATAAGTCCAACGTATTCCAGTGAATCGTGTGTGGGTGTCAACTACAAGATGAAATCGCATCTGATTTTTGTCTCTGTCAAGCTCATTCGTATTTTTAAAGGTTATTTCAAAACGAGCATAGGTTTCGGTTACATTTTATTAAATACTAGCGGACCCGACAGACTTCGTCCTGTCAAAAAGATTTGTAATGTGAAATTTTTTGTTCCTACAATTTATCACGTCTGGTGCAAAAAATTCTCCTGAACCAGAACGTTCACCGCTTGGTGATGGAGGGCGTTGTGAATAAGAAACTATAATTGAATAAAACATATATAAGCATTTAAAGCAAGTAATCGCTTTATTGTTAATCATGTGTAACTCATAATATATTAACCAATAACATCACGTTTTAATTTCATTATTTTCATTTCATTGACCTTTGTGATATACCGATGTTTTTGTTTGATCTTGACCTGGCGCGATAGATCAAAACAATATCTGGTGTTATTCCAACACCGGGAACAGGTAACATACAATTGACCATGTGAGACAAGCGCTGGGTTTTTATGAAAATTATACACACTTAATAATGCCTCTGGGACTTGTTTATGGTCATGTTATTAGCGCAAAACCAAGCGAACTGGAAACTGTATGTCGTTTTAAAGTCGAACGGCACATCAGTCTGGCGATACATTGGGATGCGCGGTATTGAGGACGTCTTCTCCTTTACCTTTCTTTTTTAGTATATGCTAGTAAATGTTTTAGTAATTTTTTATCGCTAACCGTGTGCCGTTGCAAAGACGTGGTTGGTTCATATTTCGCAACATTATATCTACCGATCCAACTTTTAATTGAAGATTGTGAGGTGGCAATCCTGGCAAATACAGTGAGTTGAAAATTCTGGTGGATAGTTCACTACATCATCTTGGTTAGTAGCCAAATCACTGATTTATATATCTCGATTCGCCTGTAATTGTTTTCCTGAATTTTTGAAATTTAAGTCATTTACATCATTAGTTTTTGCAGCCAATACAGCTCGTTTGTTCAACCCAATCATGGTTTCTCTATAATTTTGAGAAACATGCGAATACCTTCTGATAAGTTATCTTTTGATCGAGTTTAACTGACAAAAACTTTGAGGAAAGTGTATAATGCAGCCAGTCAAATCAGTCTATAGGGAAATTCGCTATTCACCAATGTCAATGAGTTGTTTAAAGAATATGTTTCCAGATGGTCATTTTGCACACTCGACACGATCATATTCTTGCTTAAATGATGTACTTTGACATGTTTCACCAAATTGGAGGACTTGAGACATGCAATTGAGTTCATCACTAGTGTTGATCGTGGAATCATGGCAAGGTTTTGACGAAAATCTGCTAAATAAAATCATTGCACCACCAAATTGGTTATGTTTGCTCCGTAGATCTTTTAAGGTTCTGTCTAAAGCATCCAACGATTTTTTATGTGCCATCGTGCATTCATCCCAAATAATTAATTTACATTGCTGCAATCCTTCTTGCCATTGCAAGAGTTCTTCGAAATGTTGCAGGTCGGAGTTCATTGCTTGTTGGCATATTTAATGGCAATTTTAATGCTGAATTGGCTGTTCGACAACCTTCAAGCGCAAAGTTGCTGTGATTCCGACGAGCGAGTGAAAGTGCAATTTTTATTTTGTGAGCGAATCGTTGCTAATATTAATAGAAATCAAAAAGGTTTTCCTGTACCACCAGGTGCATCTAAGAAGTAAACCCCTCCAGTTCATCATTTGTTACTTTCATAAGAGTATCAAATACATACTTCTGTTGTTCTTTCAATAGTGGAAGATTTGTTTGAATTAATTCTTTCAAAGTGTTGTGATCATACAGTTTTTCTTGATTAACTCTTGGTTAAAAGCATCATGCAATTGGACGATTGGGCGCGCAAGGACTAATTGAATTAATAGTTTGTTTGACATCATCAAGCACATGTCCATTGAAATCAATCCTTCGTTGTAAATTTCTTGACTAGAGAGTGATTATGATATTAATGATAAGAAATTGAAGCATTAGTAACTTAGGTGAGAACTAAAACAATTATGATTAACTGATATATAACATACCTTGAAAGTTGGCATAAAATTTTCCCCGAACTAACATTTGTTGACCCAAATCAGGTCATTTGAAAGCAATTGTTATAGTTTTGGATTTTGTCAAAAGTGTATGGGTACACAATGAGTACATGGCTCTTGATGGGGGTTCAATGGCTATCAGTTTCACTTACCATTTGCGCACACACATCCTTAGCTTGGTTTTTTATATTTCAATGCCTTACAAAAATGAGCAAACCGAGTTTCATAGACAATAACCAACACATTGGTAGTTACTGAAGTCAATTGACACATCGTAACTGAAAGCAGCTCAATTCAACCTTGCGCGATTATTAGTTGAATTTAGCGCTCGCGCTTCACGCGTTTGTGATATCGGAATTTTTTCACGTTCATTTCGGTCGTTACGTTCTTGTGCAGCATGATTGGATCGGTAAATAGCTTGGTTTGTAGCATTTCGGGTTCTTCTACCTAAATTGCTTCGTCTAATAGGAGGCATATCTATATTATAGATTATTTTATTAATAGTTTCGGACCGCGACATTAAATTCTCCAACGATGTATTCTGTGCTCCAACGCACACGCACACTGTTTTGATAGATATGATTGAATTTGAACTTTGTATGACGGCAATAAAGTGCAAATTGACTCATTGACGTTAGGAACATATCTACATTGTTTAAACAACACTGAGTGTTTTATACAATAGCTATAAAGCTCAAATTGACTCTACGTTTTAGTTAGAAAACGTTTGTATGGGAAAAAGAAAAGGGCTATTATTAGGTTTTTTCTGGCAATTATTCGAATTTTTCTCGACGTAAAAACCATCCTTGAACTTTAACGAATATTAAAAAAAAGAATTGGCCAAATTGGTCCAGGCGTTGTTGAGTTATGCGCTTACCAACACATTTTGCGATTCATTTTTATATTATAGATTAATGGTTTGTATGAATAGAAGTTGTGCTGGCAGAAATGTCATCCGACTGCCTAAGATGTACTCTCAGTAAAGGACTATTTTTGCTAAGCGCGTGAAAAATGTGATGAGTAGAGTCC